CGGGCGCTGGCGCTCCGGGAGGTGGCTGCGGCCCGCTCAGCGCCGAGTCAGGCCGCCCTGTGCGCGGCAGGAGCTCCTCAGCGTGCGCCCTGTCCTCGGCGGCTGTGGTTGGCAGCATGCTGGAGGTCAGAGAGGTTGCCGCTTTCCTGTAGGCCCCCTCGGCGCGGCGAGATGCCTAGCTCGCCTCCCGCGGCGTTCCGGGTCGTCAGCCCCTTGCGGTCGGCTGCGTCCCCGGGCGCGGTCGATGACGATTCGTTGCTGCTCCAGCCTGTCCAAGAGTGCTGCAAACTCACCGCCCTCCCACATGGAGGCCCGGGTGCCTACCTCGTCGGCGGCCGCCATGCCCTGGGGGACCGAGCCAAGCAGGAGCTTGGAGCGAGCCTCTTCCAGGGCGGCCCAGGCGGGGTCACCATCAGCGCTTCTGTTCCAGCATTGCCGCGTGATGCGGAGAAGGCGCAACCGGCAGCTGAGGGGGATATGAATGACCGTGTTGTGTGAGAGTCGGCGGACGCGAACCGTGAAGTCCAGCGGCAGCGCGGGTGCCCCAACCACGGGCGAGTCGTCAAGGTGGGCTCCCTCCGCGGCCGGCGCCGCAGCAGCGGCTGGCCCGTCGCCAGCAGCAGCTTGGGCTTGCGGCGGTGCGCCAGCGGAGGCGGGGCCGGCAAGAATGTCCCCGACGACGGGAGGTCGGCTGGGCGTGGTCTGGCGGCAGCGAGTGCAATGCCGCTGCCCAAGGGGACGGAGCCCGCCGCATGTGCTATCTGTACACACGCTGCGTTGCATAGCGTGCAAGGTCACCCGCATTGGCTCGTCGACGGGGCGTCCCGGGTGCGCACTGCTGAGGTGGCGGACGAATCCGGCAGCGGAGCGAAAAGATCGCCCCTGACACCACGGGCACCAGAAATGACCTCCATGGAACGGGACACGTGCAGGAGCGGGATCGTCTGCTTCTGCTGGCGGCCGGGGTTCGGCGCGGGAGCGCTCAGGGATGAGGGGCCTCTGTGCTGCAGCACGGGCCCGGGAGAATACTCCGGCGGGGGGTCGAGCCGTGCCTGCGGGGAGGGCGCCAGCCGCGGCAGCGGGCGGCGGGGGCGGACGAGCGGCGGCGGCGGGCCCGGAACCCGAAGAGGGGCTCGACGCGCGGGCTGGGGCAGCAGCTCGCGGGCACCTGCACCAGGTGAGAGCAGAGTGGCAAGTCGGGCAGATAATCTCGGCGCCGCCGGCCCCTGGCTGCTGGGTGCCCGCGTCGACCGCCATCCGCGCAGGGGCGGCGCTGGCGCTCGAAGACGCCGCGCCGGCGGCGGCAGCGGCGGGGGGAGGCGGCTCTGGCGCCGCTGAGCCCCGCGCCTCTGCCAGGGCAGCGGCGCGGCGCGACTCCTCGAGGGGAATGCCGGCGTCGACCTCCATGTGGCGTTCTCTGTCCACGGTCAGCTCGCCCATGCGGAGCTCGAGCAGCGGCTCGTCGCCCTCCGTGCGATTGCGTCGAAGTTGTCGTCCAGGCGAGCCCCGGGCCCCAGTGCCATCGCCTACCTCGATGAAGGTGTTGCGTACTGCAACGTTTGGCGTCCGTCGCGGGCTCCTGCTGGTAGGCGCCTCTGCGGGGAAGGCGGGCGTGAGGATGGCCCTCGCGATCAAAATGATCTGCCCACATACTGTCAACCCTGAAGGCGGCACGCCATACCAAACAGGGCTGAGAAGGCAGGTGGCCCAAATCGTGATCGTAATGCAAATTGGCCTCGCGAAGTGGAGCTGCGTAGACATGGCAGCGGCGCATGCGCTCGCAAGTGCACGCTGCATCGGTAGGCCGTGCACGGCGGCACCGAGCGACAGGACGCGCAGAGGTGTGGGCGAAAAGCCTGCAACCGTGAGAACGATGCACGGGAAGGTGGGAGTGGGGAGCAGCGGCCCCAATATCACGTGCAGCGTCTGCGTGAGAATGGCGTGGAGCAGCAACGGGTACCCGATGGCCAACGCATTGACGAACGAGGCCGGTATCATGCGCAAGAGCTGCTGGAGCAGATCAGCCGGGGCGGGGGAGCAAGGGCTCGAAGACGTGGAGCGCGCCGAGGAGACTGTGGCTGCGCAACTGCGCACGTGGCCGAGGTAGACGAAGAGCTCAGCCGGCCCCACGAGCCGCGTGGGTGGGGGAGCTTCGAAAGCCCGTCCACCGATCGTGATATTGGCAGCGTTCGAAGCCCATGTCACACCGATTGCGCCATACCTTCGCGTAGAGCTCGCTGGAGCCCTGCCACGCGCCACCAAGAAGCTGCTGGTTCTCGTCGTGCTGTTTGAGGTGGTGCTGCTGGTGCGCGTTATGGTGGTGGCGGTTACGCCGCTGATCCAGGTCGTAGTCGTCGGGGTGGTGCTGCCCGCCAGCTGCGGCAGTGTGGGCGAAGGCGTCGCGGTCGACGGGACGCCCAGCGCCAACTTCAACCCCCTGCCCGCCCCATGTGCTCGTGCAGAGCTGGCTGGGCTTGTGCCGTGCGCCTCCGGGTGGTCCAACGCAAGGCCGAAAGTCTCGAACATCATTTTCCAGACGCCGAAGTGCACGAAGTGCGCGACGCTGGATTCCATGACGAGGCCGGCATTGCGGCACGAGGCGTGCAACGGCGGCTCCATTGGGAGGGCCCTGCGCATGTCCAGCGTGTCGACGGTCTCGGCGCTGAGCGCGAGGAGGTGGGTCCCGTTGAAGCCGAAGATGTTCGCGAAGAAGTTGTTCCCGTCGAGGCCGACAGTGCCCCACAGCGGGGCGGAGTCGTAGAAGCCACCGACGGCGCCATCGGAGTGGATGACCAAGCTCAGCGTCGTCAGGCGGAAGGCCTCGAGCTCGATGCCGAACGTGCGATGCTGGATCGCGGCGACGTGTGCCCAGGAGGTCACGATGCCGTGCAGGATGTGGATCTCGAGCGTCAGCATGCGGCTCTGCACCTCGACGGTGAAGCTGCCCCTCCGGTTGAAAACGCACCATAAGCTTGGCATCTTGTAGTCGTGGGAGCCGTCGACGCTGCCGAAGTAGCTGCCGAAGGTGAGGCTTGCGATGAGGGACGCGTCGGACAGGGCGATGTCGGAGTGTTCCGGGGGCTCCAAAACAAAGGAGGAAGATCGAGGGACGGGGTGGGGGGGGACGGGACGGCGGGGCTTTGAGGTGAGGAGAGTGCCAGGGGAGGGGGTCGACCGCTGTTCTGGAGGGGAGGGGGTGGTGGTGGCCCCCGCCGCTTTCGCCCTGACCTGGGGGTAGGGGGGATGGGATGGTGAGCTCCCCCTCCGAGGTCGCGATGCCGGGCTCGATGCCGGGCTCGACGTCCAGGAAGTCGCGATGCCTGGCTCGGCGTCCAGGACCGCGGAATCCCTGGAGATGCCGAAGATGCGGCAGGAGGCGTGCAGCGACGGCTCCATCAGGGTGACCATGCGCATGCACGGCGTGTCGGATGTCTCGACGATGTTCGCGAAGAAATGGTTCCCGTCGGGGCTGTAGCTGTTCGCGAAGAAGTGGATCCGGTCCATCGTTGATCGCAGGCCACCCGCTGATCAAAGATAACGCCCAGCTGGGTGCAACAAGCGTCGCGCCTGCCATGCTCCAGACGTCGTATTTGTGCCTTCGTCCAGACACGCTCGAGCGAAGGCGCGAAGGTAGAGGGCTGGAGATGAACAGGGGGGAGGGCGAAGAGAGAATCGGTGCTCCCAGGGCAGCGAGCGCAGCTACACTGCGCGGCGTGACGGACCAGCAACAGGTATCAAATTCCGACCCCTCCATTGGCCAAACCCCTCCTTTCGCGCGACCCGAGCCTACGCGCCAACGCGGCCAATGAAACGCGTTGAGAAGTTCCCACCGGTAAGCGCCATCGCGGCCGCGTGGGCTGTGCCAAACAAGGAGGGCATTATGCGCGTGAACTTGCGGGCGTCAGCGCAGCTGCGGAGATGCGCCAGCCAGTGCCAAGTCGTCAGCGCAATTGCGGCCGCAGGTATTGTGCAAAAGAAGTTGCGGGTGGGAGGGTTGGATGATTGCGCGAGCAGTGGAGCTGACGACTTCAAGTTCTGCAAGGTGGATTGCACCGTATAACTTGCACCACGTAGATCGCCCAATATCGACTGCACCACACGAGCTGCAACACATTTATTGCACCACACCGCTTGCACTGCATCGATGGCACGTCCAGTGTGTTATAATCTGCGATTTGGGGTTCACGCTGGCCGAAATTCTAAATTCCACGACGTGACGAGTAGTTGCGCCGCAGCGGCGAGTCAACGGCCAGGCCGTGGCCAGGGGAGAGCGGAGAGCGGTGCTCATACCAGATCGCCGTGGAGGGGCAGGAGGGTGCCAGGCGCCGAGGCGGAGAGTGCCCGTTCCGACTGGCCGACCAGGCTCCGAGCGGAGACGGGCATGCGAGAAAGGGCAGCGCTTGAAGTCCTTGAAGGGGCCCCAGAACACACAAATAAATACACACAAATAAGAATATTCCCAATATTTTCCCATATTTTCTGGGTTTCTGTCTTCCCCCCCACTTCCCATATTTTCCTATATTTTCTGGGGAATCGACGATTCATTGTGTCTGTGTGTTTCTTTCCCTCCTGAGTCCTGAGCGTCAGATGCCCGTGCCGCGAGCGGCGGTGGCGGGTCGGCGGCCGGGCCGCGCAGCCGGGGAGGAAGGAGCAGGAGAGCAAGTGACTGTGCAAAGGGCAGAAAAGACCCACCCCGATGAGAACCACCACGACACGCGAAGCCGCTTAGTAAAAAAGCACCCAAGGAAGGAATCAAGCAGGGCAGGGCTGTTTGGTAAACGCCCAGGGCCGTGGAGTAAACGCCAATTGTCCGGTCCAGGTAGTGTTTCCTCCCTTGACTGTGATCAGCAGCTGTGGAAGCGCGAGAGGCTGGATGGGCGGGAAGAAGGAGTGCGCGGACGGGCGGGGCGGGATGGGGTAGGAGAGGGTTCTCCTCCACCTTCTTCATCGTCCTCTTCGTCCCATCCTGGAATGGGGGATGGGGGATGAAGGAGAGAAGCGTCCAGCAAGGTGAAGAACTTCTTCACCTGACCGATGTCGAGGTCCATTGTCCGGAAGTATGCGTCCACCTTCCGAAGGGGGGCCCAGGGGGGGCTTTGGGGGAGGGGGTCCTGGGGGGGGTGCAAGCTTCCCCCGCCCAATCTCCCATGTGAGCCGAGGGACAGGGTGGGGGCAAGGGGGAAGGGATGATGAGCGATGAGCCTAAAAGAAGAAGCATGAGGAGGGGAACGAAGTGGAGAAATGGAGCGGGAGGAAGAAGAGGAGCGCCTTTCTCGTCCTCCGTGTCAGTGTCTTAGTACCTTCGTGCATCTATTCTTACCATCCTCCCTCCTCCTCCTCCTCCTCCTCCTCCTCCTCCTCCTCCTCCTCCTCCTCCTCTGCCTCCTCCTCTGCCTCCTCCTCCTCCTCCTCTCCTCCGCATCCGCCTCGTCCTCCTCATCATCCCTCCTCCTCCGCATCCCTCCACCTTCCTTCTCTATCCTCCTTCCGCGCCTGGCGCCGTGGGCCGCCCCTGGGGGGGGGGGATCCTCCACGCCACCTTCTTCCAAGACTGCCAAGCTGGGGAGGCGGGGCGGGCCGGCCTTCGCGCATCTATCCTTACCACCCTCCCTCCTCCTCCTCCTCCTTCTCCTCCTTCTCCTCCTCCTCCTTCTCCTCCTTCTCCTCCTCCTCCTTCTCCTTCTCCGCCTCCTCCTCTCCCTCCTCCTCCTCCGCATCTCGGGGGGTCCTCCACGCCACCTTCCTCCAAGACTGCCAGGCTGGGGAGGCGGGTCGGGCCGGCCTTCCTTTTTGACCGTGTTGCGATCTCCTGGGCGATGGCGGAGGCGGCCAAGAGGGGGTTGTCCAAGAGGGGAGGGGCACAAATCATGGCTGGCGGCACGTGCGCGGCCCAAGGGGGGGGGGGGGGGGGGCAGGGACGTAATGAGATAAGAAGAGGCGCCATGACATCTGGGGGAATATCATGGCCCACGCCATGATTTCCACCCCCCCGTAGTCATCACCCCCTTTCTCGGCCGCCCCCGACGACGGCGAGGGCGGCACATTTGCGCAACCCGTACTCAGACGGCACAAGCGCACCGAGCACGCCCAGCGCGAAACCGACCGGACAGAAACAGCCTCCTCCTCGTCCTGCTTATCCGCCTCCATGTTCCTTCGCTCCCCTCCCACTCCCTCCTCCGCCGCTTCTCTCTTTCCTATACCCGCGGCCCGGGGCCAACGCACCGACGGGGGAGCGAGCGGAATCCACCGCCCTGACCGTCGTGGCCGTCGTTGCCGTTCGCCGCTTGCCAGCATCGGAGCCAGGGTGAGAGGGGAGAGGAGGAAGAAAAGAAGGAGGCGGAGAAGGAGCAGGAGGACGAGAAAGGGAAGGATGAGCAGGAGGGGAAGGATAAGCAGGAGGAGAAAGAGGGAGAGGAGGGGGAGGGGGAAGGGGGCGATAGAGAAGTAGGAGGCAGAGGAGATGGGGGGATGAGGATAACTAAGGAGATGAAGATGGTGATGGTTACGGAGGATATCCGACAAACAAACAGACAGACAGGTGGACAGACAGACAGACAGACGGACGGACGGACGGACGGGCAGACAGACACACGCAGACCCCACCAACGGCAGAACAAACGTTCCAGCGCCCAAGCCCTCGTTCCCAACCTCGCACACACCGGCGCTCCCGGAGAAGCCCGACGTCCACCTTCTCGTTCACGTCGTCGTCATCAAAATGTTGGGTGTTCATGAGTATGTGTTTGCCCTTCCCATGCCTCTTTGCGTCTTCACCACTCCGACGGCAGGACCCTAAACGAGAATAGATTTAGCTTGCGCCTCGCTTTTTCCTTTTCACCCTGGCAGAGGCCCTCCTCCCGCCCTCTGCTGCGTCTCGTCCTCTTCCTCCTCCTCCTCCTCCTCTTCCTCCTCCTCCTCCTCGCAGACCTCGCAGGCCAAGGGGGTGCCATGCCACCTCAGGAGCAAGTAACACCGCACGACACGCAAAAGCAAACAAATGCCGCATGGCAAATATATGCAAAAGCGAACGCCAAACCATTCGCGCTGGAAGTCCTCTCCCCTCAGGGACAGAGCCATCGGGACCATTCTTGGGGCAACCTCAGCAATGGACCGATTGCCTGTGGTCTCCCAGCCGCCCGCAGGCGCCCAAATTAAGAGCCACTCCCATGGGGCAAAGAGGAGGAGCAGGGGAGGGAGGGCAAGGGAGGCCAAGGAAAGGACGGCAGGGGAGCGAGGGGAAAAACTTGCCCCAGGGTGTAGCTAGAGCCAGGCAAAAGCCCCCGCAGGAGCTTTGACCGCTCTGACGAACGCTTCGGATTCAAACAGGGCTTGGACAGCTTATCGGATCTAACCGAAGCAAACCCCCCACAAAACGCACAACAAATGATCGGAACATCCGTCTCCATATCAGCCAGCGCTGTCTCCAAATAGATAGGAGGACAGGAGGAGGACGAGAGGAGGATGGGAGGAGGACGAAAGGAGGACGGGAGCAGGACGGGAGGAGCAAAATCAAGCAAGCGCAAGCAAGCAAGCAAGAGCCAGCGATCAAGTGCAAGCAAGCAGGGGCAAGCAAGAGCAAGCAACGGCAAGCAAGCGATAGCAAGCATGCAAGACCAAGCAAGCAAGCGCAAGGAAAGCAAGAGCAAGCAAGCAATCGCACAAGAGCAAGGACTCGCCATTGGAAACAGCTGGGGGGGGGCTTTAGAAATAAGGGAGGGTGCCATTGGATAAAGGGGGGAGGGGGGGGAGCATTGGAAATAAGGAGGGCGCCATTGGAAGAAGGGGGGGGGTCCTGAAGACCGATTACTAATGATGAGCTCGGACTCCTGCAGGACAACCATATTTGGAGAAGAGAGGGAGGAGGAAGAGGAGGAGGAGGAGGAGGAGGAGGAGGAGGAGGAAGAGGAGGAGGAAGAGGAGGAGGAGGAGGAAGAGGAGGAGGAGGAGGAGGAGGAGGAGGAGGAGGAGGAGGTTGGAGCGTCTGAGGGAACCGCGGGTCTCCATAGCTAGCCACTAGGGCGGGGCCCCCTGCGGCGAGGACCGCCGAGGGGCAGCTCGACAGCGATTAAAGCCGCACGAGCGAGGGAAGTGGCCGCATCGGGGAAGTAGGGAAGGGTCGCCCTCCTACTCTCCTGATGGGCGAGTCGATAAAGATGAAAATGAAAAGCTGTTCACTTGAAAGCTTCGGGGTGGGGGCGGATAAGCCCGAGAGCCAGGAGGGGGTCCAAAAATGGGGGCGCTGGGTGGTCGAATTTCAGCTGGGCTCTCGCGAGCCTGTACATAGGGTCACAGAAACGGAAATAATGCTTCAGAGAATCGCGCTCCCCAGGACATCCCCAGACGCGCCCCCTGCACGGGTTGCGCATCCTAGACTCCGTGATCCACCCCCCGCCCCACGTCTTTATGCAAGCACTGCGCCAGGACGGGGGGATACGATGCATCACCGAGGCGACGGCCGACCAGTCGATCGCCTCAGCATCGGCAGCGTGGACCCCAAACCAGCGATGAAGACGTTCGCGCAGACGGAGGTGGAGGCGAGGAGGAGAGGGAGGGACGTGACGCAACGACGATCGGAGGAGGCAGGAGTAGAGGAGGCTCTGCGGGCGCACGCGCCTCGAGAGCCCTTGGTGCCCTCGCCCGCCGTTCGACGCGGCAGGGCGAGAGCGCTCGCGGCGGGCTGCGTCGGCGATGGCCGCCCGCAGCGCACGGACTGCTGCCGCGCGCGGGGGGGCGCCTCGGCCGCATGCCGCACGCTCGAGCGTCGCGGCGAAGGCATCAGACGCCCACCAGCAAGGCCACGGGCGGCCTCGGACCGTCCTCACCGTGGGCAGGTGCAGCAGGGCCGCCCCGCGCAGACGCCGCACGGCGCCACGCCAGGAGCCCAGCGTGATGACGGCAGCACGCACCAGCGAGGCTGTGCACCATGTCGTGGCCGAGGGGATCAGCGGGCCGCCAATGGACGGGAGGTCATGCCACTCCCCGTCGCCAAGGGGGCTGCCTGGCAGACGCAGCAGGCGTGCCAGCAGCCCCCGCTCCAGGCGCTTGAGGGCCTCCGGCGCCTCCAGGAGCAGCGCCTTGTAGGCCAGCACGGGCACGCAGCGCTCCTGGTAGAGGTGGGCCGCCGCGTGCGGGTCGGTACGACTCCGCGAGATCTCCCCGACACGGTCGGCGCACTTCCGCATCGGGGCCTGCCGCTGCGCCTCCAGCGTCGCGCCAGGGCCCATCAGCACGCCCAGGTACTCGAGGGCGTCGACAATGGGGAAGGCCACCCATGCAGGATCGGCGGCCGTCAAGGCCTCCCGCGCCCTCCGAGGCACATCAGGCGCCTGCGGGTCGCCGAGAGGGATGGCGAAGCACTTCGCAGGCTTGATCATCAGGCCAGCCAGGATCCGCGTTGCGCTGAAGACGCGAGCCAGCGCCGCCAGTCCGCGGCTAGCCATCGCCGCCGCACCGAGGTCGTCGGCGCACCACCTCGAGAGCCCACGCCGCTTGGCGCCAAGGGGGATCTTCAGGTCCTGGCCGAAGGGGTGGACGGCAAGGGCGAACAGCGTGCCGCTGGCGGGGTCGCCCTGGGGGATGCCCGAGCGCACCGCGTAGAGCACCGCCAGAGTGCGTGACGCCGCGAGGGAGACGACGCCCTCGTAGTTGACCCTCAGCGCGTCCTGGAGGCCCTGCGGCGCGTCCATGGCACGCAGCGCGCCGAAGAGCCAGTCCTGCGCGATGCTCGGGAAGGCCTGGCCCCAGTCGAAAGAGATGAGGAACGGGAAGTCGCCCTCGGTGGCCGCCATGGACAGCGCGCGGGCGTGCATGTCGAGCTCCGCGGTGTTGTCGCAGAAGTTGCGCCCACGGATGAAGCCGCGCTGCGTGTCAACGCAGTGCCGCTCCGCCGCCCGCTTCATACAGGCGTCGAGGGACCGCGTGATGGCCTTCTTGGAAATTTTCTCCAGCGCCAGAGGGCGCGCCTCACCTGCGCGTCGTAGGGCCTCCCGTGGGTCGTCGGCGCGCGACCCCTTGGCGGGGAAGACAGCGATGGAAAAGTTCCGTTCCTGGCGCATGGGCAGGCCGTCGAGCT